TCTTGACAGGGGGACGGAAAGTGGGCAGAAACTGCATGGAATGGAAAGTGGGTGGAAACTGCAGGGAATGGGAAGTGGATGGAAACTGCAAGAAACAGAAAGTGGGTGGAAACTGAAGAAACAGAAAGTGGGTGGAAACTGCAAGAAACAGAAAGTGGGTGGAAACTGCAAGAAACAGAAAGTGGGTGGAAACTGCAAGAAACAGAAAGTGGGTGGAAACTGCAAGAAACAGAAAGTGGGTGGAAACTGCAAGAAACAGAAAGTGGGTGGAAACTGCAAGAAACAGAAAGTGGGTGGAAACTGCAAGAAACAGAAAGTGGGTGGAAACTGCAAGAAACAGAAAGTGGGTGGAAACTGCAAGAAACAGAAAGTGGGTGGAAACTGCAAGAAACAGAAAGTGGGTGGAAACTGCAAGAAACAGAAAGTGGGTGGAAACTGCAAGAAACAGAAAGTGGGTGGAAACTGCAAGAAACAGAAAGTGGGTGGAAACTGCAAGAAACAGAAAGTGGGTGGAAACTGCAAGAAACAGAAAGTGGGTGGAAACTGCAAGAAACAGAAAGTGGGTGGAAACTGCAAGAAACAGAAAGTGGGTGGAAACTGCAAGAAACAGAAAGTGGGTGGAAACTGCAAGAAACAGAAAGTGGGTGGAAACTGCAAGAAACAGAAAGTGGGTGGAAACTGCAAGAAACAGAAAGTGGGTGGAAACTGCAAGAAACAGAAAGTGGGTGGAAACTGCAAGAAACAGAAAGTGGGTGGAAACTGCAAGAAACAGAAAGTGGGTGGAAACTGCAAGAAACAGAAAGTGGGTGGAAACTGCAAGAAACAGAAAGTGGGTGGAAACTGCAAGAAACAGAAAGTGGGTGGAAACTGCAAGAAACAGAAAGTGGGTGGAAACTGCAAGAAACAGAAAGTGGGTGGAAACTGCAAGAAACAGAAAGTGGGTGGAAACTGCAAGAAACAGAAAGTGGGTGGAAACTGCAAGAAACAGAAAGTGGGTGGAAACTGCAAGAAACAGAAAGTGGGTGGAAACTGCAAGAAACAGAAAGTGGGTGGAAACTGCAGGGAATGGGAAGTGGATGGAAACTGCAAGAAACAGAAAGTGGGTGGAAACTGCAGGAAACGGAAAGTGGGGAGGAAACTGCATCCATTTTTTTTTATCATTCAGGGACACTACCGGTGCTGCTGCTGCGGAGGCTGACAGAACAAAGAAATGGCTTATGCTAATGAGGCTGATTAGTTGCTGTGTCTTCTATTTGTTATTGAGTCGGTGGTGGTGCGACAGGCCTTTTTGTCCTGTGTTATTTTTTTTTCAGGGTTGATGAATGTTTTAGGGTGTGTGTTTGATTAAATGTTGTTCTGCGTGGCTGTTTATCTGTCTGGTGTCTCTTTTAGGTTTGTAGACCTCTGTCTTTGTTCTTGTGTTTTTGCTTGTATACTGCTCACTCTCTCACTCTCACTCTTGCTCTCACTCTCACTCTCACTCTCCATCATGCTCTTACTCTCACTCTTGCTCTCACTCTCCATCATGCTCTCACTCTCACTCTTGCTCTCACTCTCACTCTCACTCTTGCTCTCACTCTCACTCTTGCTCTCACTCTCCATCATGCTCTTACTCTCACTCTTGCTCTCACTCTCACTCTCCATCATGCTCTTACTCTCACTCTTGCTCTCACTCTCACTCCCACTCTCAATCTCTCTCTTGCTCTCATTCTCACTCTCACTTTTACTCTTGCTCTCACTCTCCCTTATGCTCTCACTCTCACTCTTACTCTTGCTCTCACTCTCCCTGATGCTCTCACTCTCACTCTCTTTCTTGCTCTCACTCTTACTCTTACTCTTGCTCTCACTCTCACTCTCCCTCATGCTCTCATTCTTACTCTTACTCTTGCTCTCACTCTCCCTTATGCTCTCACTCTCACTCTTACTCTTGCTCTCATTCTCACTCTTACCCTTACCCTTACCCTTATCCTTATCCTTACCCTAACCCTAACCCTAACCCTTACTTTTACCATCACCCTCACCCCTATCCTCCCCTTCACCTTCACCTTCACCCTCACTTTCACTCTCACCCTTGCCCTTACTCTCACCCTCACTCACTCTCACCCTCACCTCACTCTCACTCTCATTCTCACTCACACTCACTCACTCTCACTCACTCTCACTCTCACTCCCACTCCCTCCAACCTCCCCCTCCCCCCCTCCCTCTCACCATCCCCCTCCCTCCCTCTCCCCATCCCCCTCCCCCCTCCCCCTCCCCCTCCCCTCACTCTCACTTTCACTCTCATTCTCACTCACATTCACTCTCACTCTCACTCACTCACTTCCACTTCCACTTCCACTTCCACTTCCACTCTCACAATCACACTCATACTCATTTTTGTACACTCACACTCACACAGTGTCACTCTCAACTCTCTCATTCACATTCATAGTCACTCACCTTTGCCCATGCTCTCACTCTCATTCTCAATCTCATTCTCTTCTCATTTGTTATCTTACTTCACTTTTACTAATACACTCTTGATTTACACTCACCTCTCATACTCACACTCATACACTCACACTGATACTCATACTCACACTCAGACTAATACTCATACTTATGCTCATACTCATACTCATACTCATGCTCATACCCACACAAGACACAACACAGTGTTGGAATGTATTGCAGCAGAAGTCATATGAGTACATGTGATGGTATCATGAAGGGATCATAAGTCAGTGCTTGGTCCCTATATATATCCATATTGTTTAGCTCAGTTTTCGTAATGCATAGTCATGTGTGTTTAAGAGAAGATGCTTATGGTTGGTATTCATATGCAAGTTCGTATGTGTAGGATACGTGTATGCATATATATGTATATGTATTTATGCATGTAAGTACGTGCGTTGCTCTATGCCAGACGATACTCCAGGATGTAATTTAGTAAATAGCATGCAGATGAGGAGCTTGACTGCAGTGTGTGACACTTCCAGCTCAGAGGTTTATGATATGGCACTTGCTCTATGGTGGCTTTACTTGGGTAGTCCCCCTTGTCGCAGCTTTATCACCGAGTTATTGATTTCTGCAGCTTTAGGACTTGTGGGGTGTTAATGGGATCGATTGATTTTGTATTTTTGTTCTTTCTTGTTCTTTTTTTTTTCCATTTGTTTCTTTTTCTTTGCTGATAGTTTTAATTCTATTGGTACACTTGCAGAGGGATTACTTTATTGTTCAGACTATTGATTGAGTTTTACATAGATTATGAAATAGTCTCTAGATAAGTTTAATGATAAGGAGTATAGGACTATTTGGGGACTTTTCTTTTTTATTACATCTGGATTATGCATCAGGTTGATACAGTAATTTAACAGTTGATAATTATTTTGTGATCCATTTTTTTTATATTTTTTTAATTTAGAAATTTTAGGGATTGTAATTGTGGTAAAAGTGGTGGTGGTGAAAATGAAATTGACTTACTGTTACTTAGATGAAATGAATACTATATTACTGTTACTATTATTACAAATTGAATAATATATCAAAATAACTATGATGTTAATGATATAGCATTTCTGAACTGATGTAATGGTTGCATCATTTGTTAGTAAGCAGTGAAGAATTTGCTCATGTTACATTTTAGGAGGAGAAAAGCATTCTCTCTCTCTCTCTCTCTCTCTCTCTCTCTCTCTCTCTCTCTCTCTCTCTCTCTCTCTCTCTCTCTCTCTCTCTCTCTCTCTCTCTTCTCCCTCTCTCCTCCCTTCTCTCCTCTCTCTTCCCTCCCTTCCTCCCTCTCTTTCCCTCCCTTCCTCCCTCTCTCTCCCTCCCTTCCTCCCTCTCTCTCCCTCCCTTCCTCCCTCTCTCTCCCTCCCTTCCTCCCTCTCTCTCTCTCCCTCTCCCTCCCTCTCTCTCCCTTTCCCTCTCTCCCCCCACTGCCTTTCCCTCTCCCTCTCTCCCCCCACTGCCTTTCCCTCTCTTCCTCCCTCCCTCCCTCCCTCCTGTCCCTGTCCCTGTCCCTGTCCCTCTCCTCCCTATCTCCCTCCCTCACCCTCCCTTCCTGTCCCTGTCCCTGTCCCTGTCCCTGTCCCTGTCCCTGTCCCTGTCCCTGTCCCTGTCCCTGTCCCTATCCTTGTCCTTGTCCTTCCCAGTCCTGTGCTCCATGCCTTCTCTCTCAGACCCTACTTCTCCACACTCTTTCTCCATCAGACAATGAATACAGGTTTTTAAAATTCTCCTATCTTTTGCCAGATTTATCGCCACGACTGGTGCTAGTGTCAGGGGTTCGAGAAGTTGGTAGCTTGGCTGAGGGTCAACGTGTGTGGTGCATTACACGTGTTGTTTTCCTGCCGCTGAATACGCCTCCTGATGCTGACTTCAGTATACTTCCTTGCAAAAAACATGCCAACCATCCATCCAGGTTTGATAACACGAGTGCACTTTCTTGTAAATCATGATGTATCTATATATGTTGTAATGTTTTATACATGGTGCTTCTTCTTATACACTGTGATATTGTATTTATATATGTTGTAATGTTGTGACAGTGTCAGCGGAGAGAAAAAGCTTGGGTTACCATTTGGAGACTTGCAACAGAAGGTGGCTCTTTCAAAGACATTTGGGACGATTCGGAGTGTCACATCGACAATAAAAAGTGCAACTGTTAACGCGGCAGCAACAGCAACTGGACAGGTATGACTTGAATATAACTTTTTGATTACTGTGGGATATAATTACTATTAATTCTCTGAATGTGTCTCTAATTTTCGGATTGTTTTCAGAGCAAAGTGCGGCGTGATGGAAGGGACAGAGACCGATATGAACGCAGAGTTTTAGACGAGTTAAGCAAGATGTTCAATGACTCTGACTCCTTCTATTTCTCGTCAGAGGCAGATTTAACGAGTTCATTGCAACGACAGAGTTTATCTTCCTATGACAAGAGTTTGCCACTCTGGCGCAGAGCTAATGATAATTTTTTTTGGAACAGGCATCTGCTTATAGATCTGATTAGTCAAGAGGTAGGTCTTGAAATGAAAGATAGCCATCAAAACCACTTACATTGCAATATCTTTTTATGCCAAAAATGGCTTAAGTGCACCTATATATCTAGATACATTATGTACTTGCATGTACAATTAAGCATTTTTTGCATAGATTGATATTACAGGCAAAAAAATTATATCTATGAGATAATCAGTGATAGATAATAAAGTCTTATCTATTACCCCAAAATATTTTTTTCCTTTTTCTCCTACCTTACTAGGGATCAAATTTTGACGTCTGGATTGTTCCGGTAATACAGGGTTTTGTGCAAATAGAGGCAGTACCTCTAGATGCCCCAATATCTTCACCAGATGATTCAGTAGATAAGGTTTGTAATTTCTATATGTAGAGATTATAAATACATCTTATTGGTTAGGTGCTTGAATTATCAAAGTATTGAATATATGTGTGTGTGTGTGTGTGTGTGTGTGTGTGTGTGTGTGTGTGTGTGTGTGTGTGTGTGTGTGTGTGTGTGTGTGTGTGTGTGTGTGTGTATGTGTGTGTGTGTGTGTGTGTATGTATGTATGTATGTATGTATGTGTATATATTTGTAAATGATGTATGTGTATATATTTGTAAATGATGTATGTGTATATATTTGTAAATGATGTATGTGTATATATTTGTAAATGATGTATGTGTATATATTTGTAAATGATAATGATAATGATAATGATGATAGTGATGATAATGATAATAGTATGTATTTTGATCATCCACACAAACATGAGTCACATTAAGTTGATTTCTAATTGTACTCTGATTTATTCCTTTAATTTTCAACATTTCTAGAATCGCGATCACTATACCTTAACCTTAATATCGCGGAGAAGTCGTTACCGTGCGGGTACCAGGTATAAGAGGCGAGGCGTGGACGAAGAAGGTTACGTAGCCAATTATGTGGAGACGGAGCAGATTGTGTCCTACTCCCATCACCGAGTGGCGTTTGTTCAGGTTGGTTGGATGCGTCTTTCTTTGGAGTTGGTAATCATAGGTAAAAGTTGGTGGAGGAGACAGGGAGATGAGGAGAGGCAAATTTTTGGCCAGATTTCATACGTATATTGCTGTAGTGCCAGTTTCTGCTATTTAGAGCTGTCTTGTCTGAAGGAGTTAAAGGGAAAATAAAAGAGTTATATTTCTGACTTACCATTTAGCTTTTTTTAGGAAATTTATGATTGGTTATCTTATATTAGTGAAGCTGTTCTCTTTTAACGTTGTCCCATTCAAGAGTTTATTTTTATGAGACAGAAAAATTTAAACATGATACCAGCATCCCTCCCTATAAACATTGATTTTTTTTGTAGTTAACTAAGCTATTGTGTTTTGTATTGTAAAAATTTGCACTCTTGACCAGAGTATGGTAACTAATGAAAAGAGTGGTGAAGATATTCCATTTATATGTTTTGTCCTGTGTGTAATCAAACTTATAAACCTCCTCCCCCAAGTATTTATTTTTGGAGAGATGGTAGACAGACACTTGACTCAGGGTCCTTGTTCTTGTTATAGCAAATGTTAGCAGTATATTTTTTCTAATAATGAAGCAAACTGCTAATCTATTTGTTTCCTTTGTATTAGGTTCGAGGATCTGTGCCTGTCTATTGGAGTCAGCCGGGTTATAAATACCGCCCACCTCCAAGATTGGATCGAGGTATTTGCATGTTTTGGTGCCTCTCCCCCCAAAGAACATGTGTTGTTCCCCCAGAGAATAATATTTGTTGTATATATATTTTTTTATTTTATTTTTTTTGAAATATTAGGTTTTGGTATAGTGTGCAATAAAAGTATTATAAAAACATTTTTTTTTTAAATATGATGAATATTATACTTTTATTGTGATGTGCACAAATAGAGGGAAGTTTTATGAATGTATTCAATAAAGTCAGTGTGAAAGGCTTGTATCTTTAATTATTCTAATCTGTTTATAGGTCTGTCATTGCTTACAGTTCAATTTCACCTTTTTTGACAGACACTGCTGAAACAAGCTTAGCATTTAAGAAGCATTTTGAGAGAGAAGTATCCCACTATGACCATGTCTCATGCATTAGTCTAGTGGAGCAGACAGGGAAAGAGAAAGTCATTGCGGATGCCTACCTGAATCACATCTTCATGCTCGACTCATCTGACCTCACCTTTGTCACCTTTGACTTCCATGAATACTGGTGAGTTGTGAGTTGTGACTTGTGACTTAACATGGCAAAGGGGGGTAGAATGTGAGATAATTTTGTTTTGATATTGATGGAGATATATATTTTTTTTTCAATATTTTGCAAATATTAATTTAGAGTTGTAATGCTATGCTTGTAATATTAACTCTACAATTTGTTTGGCAAGATAGTGAAATGTATTTATGCTTTTTATAATTCTTTTTTACTTGACACAGCCGTGGAATGCGTTATGAGAATGTGTCTGTCCTGATTGAAGGCATAGAAGAATGTATTTCAAAAATGCTTTACTGCTGGGTAGACAAGGAAGGCACA